TACGAAATAAAAAGTAGTAAGCATGCAGGTTGGCACATGAGCTACCTTTACACTTGACAAAAATATGATCAGTTTCTTGGATGTATTGGACTAAAATGAGTATTTGCTCACACACCATAGTTAGCAAAGCAAACTAAACCAGTTCTACTCTTCTTCCTTCATTATTCAGTTCTGTACATGCTTTTGTCAGTAAAAACAAGAGCGAAATAAAAAGTAGTAAGCATGCAGGTTGGCACATGAGCTACCTTTACACTTGACAAAAATATGATCAGTTTCTTGGATGTATTGGACTAAAATGAGTATTTGCTCACACACCATAGTTAGCAAAGCAAACTAAACCAGTTCTACTCTTCTTCCTTCATTATTCAGTTCTGTACATGCTTTTGTCAGTAAAAACAAGAGCATTATTTACACACATACAGTGTCAATCGAGGCAACAGAAGCTTTGTTTCTCTCTACATATACAACTCCAGGGCCCTGACTTCTCATAAAATCCCTAGGTAGTGAGTTTGCCACTTTGGTCTTCTGCATACTTGGAGTAGACAACTTTGTTTACTACTTCTGTATAAGAATTTCTCTTATTACTGCTATTCAAGCTTATATAAATCCCAGAAATGTATAGCTGTTCTGCATAACACATTTTTTACATAATTTGCGTAATTCTTTCTGATTCTTGAAATATTAAATCTTTATTTACGATAGTGTAACTAATTGAAAAATATTATGATGTTTGATTTACTTTTTGTATAGAAGATGTTAATTTTATTTGCAATGCTATAGAAAACCATAAGCTGAATATCTATGGGCAAAAACCTGAACAGCGAAGCTTCAAGAACTCTAGATTCAACTCTTTTGTGTTGAAACTCAGTAATATAATATACCTTCATCTCTTATTACATAACAAACTATCTTAAAGATCTTGAAAAACATGAAGCAGAATAACTTAAGCACATATTAAAAGATTCAAATAACTGACCTGTTGTTCAAATAATGTGTTACCTGGAGCTTCCTAAAAGTTCTCACCATAATTGAAGATTTAGATTTATAATCTTAGATATTATCACTATTATTATTATAATATCGTCATGACTGTGCTGATTATTCTAACATTTGTATACAACAGATAGTAGAAACCAGTAACCCTACATCTGAGAATTTGCTTAAACATTTCCATCTGAGGGAGATTTTAGCTATCAGGCAGTTTTAAAGAGATCTTTCAACATTTCTGTAAATCAGGGAAATGCTTCATGTCTAGTGCACATAAAATTGTTGACTAGAACTTTCATTCATTGGTAAAGCTGCTGCGACTCTAATGGTATCTTAAAACTAAGAACTAGTTTGTGAACACTAGTATTAAGCAAACAAGAAAACTGTCTTCACGATCAGGACCTTGGTTAGCCTCTGAATTCCTTATTTTAAATGAAAAGTGACCAAGGTTTTGTGGTGGGTTTGGGTTGGGTTTTTTTCCCCTATTCTTGTTTGGTAATACTGGTATCAAAAGTTTAGCAAGGTGTAGTGGTTTAGGAATGGTATTTCCCAATTTAGTGTTCCCACTTAAACACCCCAGACCACACACTTCCCACTCACTCTCCCAGCCCTTCCTTCTGCGGCAGGATGGAGATGAGAATTGGAGGCACAGAAAGTTAAGATCATGGATTGAGATAAGAACAATTTACTAGAAACAGCAATAAAATAAGAAAGCAAAGAGTAACAGGAACTATACTATTAACAGTGTACAAGACAGGTAAATGACTCATGCGCAATTACTCACCATGCAGAACTCGGCAGTGTCTGACCAAACCTGAAAAGGGTACCCACCACCCACTGCATCCCCTCCACGTTGTGTCAGGTGGTATAGAATAACCCCAGGATCCTGACGTGCCCCTCCTGGCTGCTGCAAAAGTTAACCCGGTCCTGGCTGGAACCAGGACACATGGTCTAAGGAGAATTTGAGACAAATATAATTACTTTTCTGTACTTAAATAAAACAAGTGCAAAAAAAGTAGTTAAGAATCAAGTAGTTTTGTAATTACAGGGACTCATACCCACTGATATACATGTTTTTTTCCTAAAAATATAAATTCATATATAAATACATAGAAACATACAATTTAAATCCATTATCATAACAGTATTTCATACTTATTCTAATCTTTGCACTCTAAAATCTAGGTGATACAGCTGGTTCTTGTGGTGATCCAGGTATCCCAGGTCATGGATCTAGAGAAGAAAACAATTTTAAAATTAAAAGCACGATACATTTCAGCTGTGATATTGGATATATCCTCCATGGCTCAGAAGAAAGGACATGTATGGCAAATGGAAGTTGGACAGGAAGACAACCTGAGTGCAAAGGTATATCAAAGAAGATGCATTCTATTTTTAAACTGTATTTTTAATAATATTACTCAGAAACCCAATTTTACATTGTCAGTTTTGTGTTGTGAATGGTATGCGGTTGATTTTGGACCAACCATGTTACATAATATATATAACAGAAGTAGCTTGGCATGAGGTGGCAAATTTGAAATGAGTTCTTGGCACCCATGAAGGTGCATTTTTTCAAGTTTAGAGAATGAAAAAAAGAAGCCTCTATAACTCAATTTTTTTTCTGAAATACTGTTTCACTTAAAATCTCACCTTGAAGAGACCTTCAGGGTCATCAAGTCCAAGCATTAACCTGTCACTCCACTGTAACCCCTAAACTCTGAACTGTATCTTCCAGTGCTATATCCAGATGCCTCTTAAAAACTTCTAGGGATAGTGACTCCAATACCTCCCTGGGCAACCTATTCCAGTGTCTGACCACCCTAACAGTGAATTTTTTTTCTACTATCTAATCTGTATCTCCCTTGTCTCAGTTTATGGCCATTCCCTCTAGTGCTCTCACTGCAGGCATGGCAGAAGAGACCATCCTTCCTCTCTACAACTCCCTTTGTAGAGAGCAATGAGGTCACCCCTGTGCTGCCTCTTCTCAAGGCTCAACAAACCCAAATCCCTCAGTTGTTCCTCATAGAACATGTGTTCTAGACCTTTTATGAGCCTTGTTGCCCTTTGCTTGCTATTCAATGCCAAGTACAGGAGGATGATTACTTCCCTTGTCCTGCTGGTGGAGATGCCATTGCCTTCTTGGCCGCCTGGACACACTGTTGGATCATATTGAGCCAGCTGTCAAGAAGCACCCTCAAGTCTCTTTCTGACAAACAACTCGCAAGCCACTCTTTGCCCAACCTGTAGCTGCATGGGGTTTCTGTGACCCAAGTACAGGACCCAGCACTTTGCCTCGTCGAGCCTCATGCAGTTGTCCTCAGCCCACTGATCAATTCCGTCCAGGTCACTCTGTAGAGCTTTCCTACCCCTCAGGCAGATTGACACTCCCACTCAGCTTAGTGTTGTCTGCAAATTTACTGCGGGTGCACTCAATCTCCACATCCAGGTCATTAATAAATATGTAAATAGGACTGGGCCCTATACTGAGCCCTGG